TAGGTAATTTCACCAAGCCCATAAACAAGACCAAACCAAAGAATTTTTTTATTTCGACAAGGTTAGTAGGCACCCAGTGCTTAATGCGTGCACATTTTGTAGCTTCTTGTGAGTTAACTATTTTTTGCAATTGCAAAGTTATTAGTGTTTTTCACTATTTCATTAAAAACATCATCCGTTAGTTACCAAAAGCGCATAAAATTCTGTTGGGGATTTGTTAGTCATAAGCCTGCGTATGTGCAACGGCGCACCAGGAATTTCGGTAAAAGCTATGAATTGGCGTTGTTTACCTTTGGGATCGGTTCATGTTGAGGGTGGCGAACTCTCCGCTAAATCTTGAATGGCACGATTAATTTCAGTTTCACTTAACTCACTATCTGATAAGATGATTCGACGCCGTCTTGGTCGCAAAAGTTGAATGTTGTCGTCTTCATCAGAGCTTATTTGAAAGCTTTGGTTAAGGAGAGTACTTTCTATATTATCTATTCAAGAGAGGTCTTCTTGGCTAATCTCAAAGTCATCGTTACGACGTAAAGTTACAAACACGATCTACGTTATAATACAACTGTAAACACGTGATTACTGCGCTACGAAGTAACAGCGATTAGCCGCTTGCCGGGACGCAAGTACGCGCAATGTGTGTGAGCGGCGTGGTTTCGGGCGGGTGGGCGTCGTCGTGCCCGCGCGGCCCCCTGTAACAGTTTCCCGGTATTCCTTGCGCAGAGACTGTGTCGGTCAATGGTGGGAGACGCTTATTAACACTTAAAATAGTTATAAAATGTTGCTTGTGAGAATTAAAACATGTTTTATGACGTCAAATGTATCCCATAAACCAATAAAACACACTAATGAAATTTGGAAAAAATATTAATTTTTGTCTGGCTTCAGATGAAAATAGGGTGCCAACCACCATTGTCTGTCGCGGCGTCGAACGTGTTAATAGGCCTATTCACTTCTGATCATAGGTGTCTCCCATTGTTTGTCAAATAGGCCGGATATTTGCAGTAGTAGCCACACTTGGCAAGTGGGTTGGCAATCGCAGCTTTTTATTACTCTGCATTGTTATCAGGAAGATGATGCCATCCACCTCCTATTTCAGTTTCCATTCCGTCGCCTCTTACGACACCCACGAGACAAAATGTGGTATTGATTTCTATTTCGCCGCCTCTACATTGCTAATATATTTCTACTCCCGTTCATAATTTTGATTCCCTCCATAGATTACGAAATAAGTTGGATATCAGCTGATCTTACCATACTCGGCAGGTGGCTTGTCAACTGCATCCTTTTATTATTTTAAGCTGATTATATCAGAAAGATGCTTTTGCCCATGTTCTCTATATTTTTACTCCTGTTCATGTATATAGTTCCTCTCACACGTTCATCGTGAATAGAACTACATTTATGATATTTTAACTTTAATTGTAGTAGTATTAATGGTATTTCTAAATTTATTTCTAAATAAAAAAAAACCAACGCGAGCGAAGCCGCGGGTAAAAGCTAGTAAATAATAAAATTGAGAATTCTGTATTTGCTGGTTTTCTCTTTTAAGACATTTATGCTACGACGTGAGGCTATTCCCTCGTCGAGTAAAAATACTACGATAGGAGATGCGGTTCTATGAGTTGCAGTACAACCCGCACACGTAAATGCCGCCGTAGATCTCCTAGTGGTTGACTCAGACGACGATGGAATAGTCGCCCAGGAACAAGAGCAAATGAGGAGCATATTGGAAGAGGCGATTAGGGAAACGCTCAATACGCATCTCTAGAATCGACTGCGACTTTTTTTTATAGGGGAGGGGGCAAACGAGCATGCGGCTCACCTGACGGTAAGTGAGTACCGCCGCCCATGAACAACCGCAACACCAGGGGAATTGCAAATGCGTTGCCGGCCTTTTAAAAAGGAGTAGGCTCTTTTTTTGAAGGTCTCTAAGTCGTATCGGTACGGAAAAATCGCTGGTGGTAAACTATTCCACAAGGAAGTTGTGCGAGGAAGAAAACATCTAAATCGTACAGTGATGGGCAGCCAATCTTCCAGATGGTGCGGATGGTATCGGCAGTTCTGTCGCGATGTGCGTTTGTGAAATTTGGCGGCTGGGATTAATTCGAACAATTCCTCAGAGCACTCCCCGTGGTAAATGCGAAAGAGATGCAACATCTCTTCGCAACGCCAATGAATCGAGCCGATCGGAAAGGACTCGGTCGTCGAGGATTCGAGCCGCTCTGCGCTGGACGCGGTCAAGTGGTAAGAGCTGGCACTGGGGAGCCCCAGCCCAGAGATGGGAACAGTATTCCACCTGCGCCTCGTAAAGTTGCAGGCGTTGTGCCGGCATGAAATACTGTTCCGCTCTGCTGAGCATGCCAAGCTTTTTAGAGGCCAATTTGGCCTTCTCTTCCAAGTGACCACGAAACTGCACGTCACTCGATATGTCGACGCTGAGGATTCCGATACTGGCTGAGGCAAGAAGGGGAGTGCCTTGAAACTGAGGAGATACAACAAAGGGGTTCTTTTTAGCGGTAAACGCGCAAACTTGTGTCTTCTTGGGATTAAACTGGACTAGATTTAGTCGACCCCAATCAGAGTCTTTGTCCCGCAAACACCCGACTTCAGACACAAGTTCGTTCCAGTACTTGGCGACGTTTTCCCGAGACATATAGGCACGGCCGGTAAATAGAGCATCACCAGTACTGTCATCCGCATAGCAATGAATGCTATTATTCCCCGTATACTTCTAAGCAAGCGGAACCGGGCTGTCGTGAGGGCTCTAAGCCCAATGCTCGTGAACTATTTGGAAACCAGTCGGGACCTTTGCGATACGGACTTAATTATTTTTGGTGCCACACTGACAGTATGCCGTATTATTAGCGCCAAGCTCCCCGCGGCTGGACGCGCTACTACACAAAGTAGCGCCATCCCAGCCTGGAGATAAAGAAATGAGGACCGTATCGCAAAGGCAAGAGCCCTAATCGGTAGACTGCCAAGCTTCAATTCGGGTAATAATAGACCAAGAATTGTGCGCACCATCAGGATGGCGTTTAATGACACAAATATAAGTTTGTCCCAGCCGGATATTACGCAAAAACTGACGGAGCGCATAGACGACCTGAAGCAGAGAATCGCTGCTTGGGAAAAGCGGATTCGTCGATATACCGAGAGGTCAACACAGTTCACCAGAACCGTCTCTTCCAGAATGATCAGAAGAGGCTCTATAAATCATTGGAGCGACCAATGGTACGTGGAACGGGGCAAGCACCGAATCAGGCCGGTACTGTCGCATTCTGGCCAGGCCTGTGGTCATGCCTATAACCCACTGCGAGGGCCTTTGTACGGAAATTGTGGCGAGTCAGTGTGCGAATATTACGCCCATGGACACCATCATTATAACGCCAGCCGAGGTAGCTGTGGCGATCCGAAGAGCCCTGAACTGGAAAAGTCCTGAGGACTTTTCCAGTTCAGGGCTGGATCACTACTGGATGAAGGGGTTCATGGTGTGTCACGCTATGCTCGCCCGAAAGTTGCAAGAGGCTCTCGACCAGATGTCGCTCCCAACCCTCTTCACTACTGGGATTACTCATTTGGTTCTTTAAGAACGGGACACCATAGACCCGAGCAAATACCGCCCCATCACGTGTCTACCTACGATCTTCAAGAATTGTGCTGATGGATTGGGCACAGTCAAGGATATTTTTAGATATTTAAAGTTAAAAGATTATCCCTCGGCCATTTAGACACACGAGCTAAGCCCTTTGCAGCCAGATGGTGTACGGAATCCCAAGTCTTGTCAGTAAAAACAATAGCGGTATCATTCGTCAAACCTTTTGACCTTGTAAAAGATAGAAGGTGAGAATAATATTAGTATTGTACCATGTTAAACTAAGACAGTTATTATACTCTTTGGTTAAACGTATATATAAAGCCGGCCATATACATACGGAATTCCGTTTCGAGATTCCGTTTCGATGTTCCAATTTGGAATTCACGAACGCAGCAAGTCCGTATAAAATCTATGACCCGCCACACACGTACGGATATTTTTCGTACGGAATTTACTCCAATTCGAGATTCAGTATGAACACCTGCGCGTTCGGAATCCCGAACGGAAAAAAGCCACTCCGAACGCAAGTCTTCCAACCCAGTCGCAACACACATTCGTAAATTCCGTACGGAAAGTTCTCAGTGTTCGTCGCACGACCGAAGCGAGTCGGTGTGTTTATATATGTTTTTACACTTAATCTTATGTGTATAGCTTTTCGTGACATTTCATCTCATTTCATTTCATAATTCGTCGAAAGAGTTTACAGACATCCATATTAAAAAAAATCTTTTTACATAATATTGACTATATTGCAAGCTTAGGGTAATTAGGGGATACACCTAGTAAGAGTGATACAGCAACGCAATCGCAATCAGAAAATCGTCGTCATTATTCGCTGGCAGAATGTCTAGACTCAATGGCTAACGTCTCTCAACTAACCCTTGTTATACCGAACGGAAATAAACGTATGTGTGTGATGCATTCACGGAATCCCGAATCGGAAATCGGCCTAAAAAGTTCAGTTATAAGAACTTTATTCTTGTTTTAGGGTTTTAGGTCCGCCACATGCATACGGAATTCCGTTTTGGGAGTCCGTTTCGATATTCCGATTCGGAATTCCGAACGCAGCAAGTGCATATAAAATCCGTCACACACGTACCGTAGTTTTCCGTTCGAAATTTTGCGGGAATAACAGGATTCCGTATGTGTGAGGCCGACCCGTTCGGAATTCCGAAACGGAATCCCGAAACAGAATTCCATATGTATGAGGTGGGTCTCCAGTATATATACAGTTACATTCCTGTATAGGACAGTTACTATAGCATCATATTAGTCTGTGGTTACTATACTCTTTGAGTTACAGTAATCTATGTGGTGGGCCTAAGAAGTTTATAATATAATATATTTACAATCTCCAGGGTGGGCCTTAGGATATAACTTCATGCTTAGGACTGTCTCATGCATAGATAATACACCAAAGAGTATAGTAACTGTCCTATACAGGAATAATACACTATATACAAGTCTTGTGGTCTTGTAGAAGTCTCATGGTAATTACTCCGAGTATGAAAGCGCAGTGAAAGTATGCGGTTAGAATCTACTAGTTAGTCTGTGGTGAAAGTCACAGAGTACTTTGGTGAAAGTGGTACTTAAACTAGGTGATTACAGAGTACTTTGTATAAACCCGGGAATTTTTTTATACTCTTTGGCTGGAAGTGTAGCTAATTCTTTCATATAAATCAAAATTGCTACGAAAAATTTATAAATACATTAAATATGTACAATTATTGATTAAACGTGGTAATTTAAATACTCTTTGATTGATTTAACAATAACACTAAGTAATTTTTTACCACCCACTATAACATTCCATCAATACGTGGTAAATTATTGAATACTTAATATTTTGTTGTTTTATCGTGTTATCGTTTTTTCATCACTGTCTAATAAATACGTTATATTATATAGGTACGTAGACGGACGTACACGTAAATTATTACAGTTTCAGTTCTAACAGATATTTAGCCTAAAAATTTTATACGTGTATTTAACTATATAAAATGCTGAAGTTAACTTGGCTAAGCTTATTTTCACCCAGGTTGTATAGAAAACATGGGGATGGACCAAGTGATGTAAGTAAATATTTAAAAATACTACATTTAGTTTCTCGTTTACACCAAGAACCTTTATATGTTTACTATAAAAAATGGCTTTTCAAGACTGCTGCTACCAAGCATTACATAGAACATTTACTCTATAAGCTGTAAGGTAGTCAGGCACCAGTGTGGCCTGTTAGCTGGCTGCTTCATTATATAGTGCAGAGAGAAAGTAAACAGGTTTACCCTATATGCAAATAGTTTTATCAACATAATTATTGTAACAACTTTATTTCAATCACTTTGTTTTGTTTTGTGGATATTACATTATTAAAAAGTTGAACCATGTGGTGGCATCATAAGGCAATAAATTGCCTCATTGCCATTGCCATGGAAACTGAGATCTTATAACCCCTGATGTGTCAAAACAGTCAAAATTCAAATTACTGTCAAGTTCAAATTACTCTCACAGAATATAGGTTAAAATTAGAAAATTAATGCTGCCGTGTTTCGTATAGTGAGTGTAGAAAACTGGAGACCCTTTTTACTGGAAACGAGGAATTCCATCGTATTCCTCAGGGGTGAAATCACATCTGCATTTTGATTCTCAACCGTGGATTGATGTAGTAGTCCATAGACGTGATTGAGCGCTTGCTAGACCTACTTGTGTTTACCTAAGATTTTTGTTTATTCCATACAATTTTGTTATTGTTCTGAAATCTGGACAATATTTGCTATTCATTTTTATAAAATCTATGTAATTTTAATTAAAAAATAAAGTAGAAATTGAAGCCAGAAAAAGATTTTTTTTTGATTTTTCACCCATTTTATTACATTAAAATTAGCAGAGTTACTGGTATTAAAATTATTTATTTTTATATATTTACTAGCTGACCAGGCAGACGTTGTTCTGCCCCTTCTGACGACCATTTGCTTTCCTAAAAAAACTCCTGAAATTAGCGATAATAAAAAAATTAGGGTCACTTATCGGGATGAAAACTATCCTATCTCTCAAGTTGAACTAGACTGCAAACAGTGTGCAAAATTTCATTGAAATCAGTTCAGTGGTTTAGGGGCTCATCGCGGACAAACAATGTGACATGTAATTTTTATATATAAAGATTAAATATTTTACAAGAATCAATAAATATGATAAATTGTAAATTGTAGGAATATGTGGTAATAAAGATTATTAAAAAAAACACACAACAAAAACTCTCGACTCATTGAATTTTTGTTTTAGCTTTATTTAGTTAGCATCTGATTGTCCTCTATCTAATTAATTTGGGATATTTTCTATCTGATTCTTTTGTGATAATATTTTTAATTTCAAGAGTTTTACTATTCATTTAAAAACTATTCAACAAGTGTAAGAAATGAATAGTATTAGAGTTATATTCACAACTAAAAGTCCAAACAAAATTTTTTCAACAAATAAAGCACTGTCTCAGATAAATAGTTTATAACGTTAAAATTATCTAATATATTTAAAATGTCAAAATAACTATAGAAACTACTTTTAATTACAAAAGCATTTGTTCTTTTTACTGATTTAGTAATAAAATAACAAAATATGAGTATCATTAAATTTCAAACTACCATTAAATTTTAGAGAATAAGTCTCACCGGCCAGTATGGATATGGTTTTATTTATATTACTTTTCTTTGTTGTTTGTCACGAATCATGCTTAAAACAAAAGTTTATAATATTACCCATACAATCCAATGATAATTTAACAATGCACTAATAGAAAATAAAAAGATGATTACAATAAAACTTCGGGTATCAGTGCCAGTTTTACGCTTTGCCTCCTTTAATGTGGTATTTAGACATCGGATTATATGCACCAACTAAGTGCCAAAATATGCACAGTGCAAAATCAAAAAACTATTTCTATTTTTATATATTTTAATTAAAGACTTTACAAAAACAGCAAAATGTTCTTAAAATTATGCATAGTTTTGATGACTATATTCAATTATTTTTCCAAATTTTCGAGTGCAAATTTGTGACGTTTGTCACCCAATATCAATTTGTACGCCAAAAACAACCTCTAGGTCCTAGGTCCCGATATGTTCCTCCCGCTACTAAACGAAGTATGCACGATTGGGAAAAAAGCTAAAATATACATTAACGCCGCATATTTTTTTTTTGCTTATGCAAATATGCAAATACATGAAATCCGATGTCTAGTCATATTATATGTTTTAAAAAATCATGCACATATTCCAAAAAAATAATATTTGTTACATTTATTTAATACTATACTATACTTTTATTTAACCAAAAACACACATAAACTAATCTCTCTAGCTAGACATTAGACTGAATACAGGAAGCATAAATCGGAAAAGAAATACTATTAGGTTTTGTTCAATAGTAGGTATTCTTGTTTATTTTATTACTAGCTCTGTCTTTTGAGAACACTATACCATTGGAGTTAAAGGAATAGATAACTTGGGAACATAGATAGAGCTAATACTGATAAACGAGTATCCGGTTCATATTCCAGTATGCATAGTGTTGAATGCAAACAAGAAATATTCTAATCTCACACATGTTGTGCTTCTTGACTCTCCAGGGAATACCTTCTAATGGATGGTACCTTTACCCCAACTGTAAAATGCCCAGACTGTATAACTGACTGCCGAGGGGAACTATTAAAACTCATCATCTATTTAATAGAACTGACCCATATCCAAAATTAGACAAGCTGAAGAAGAATAAGAAACGTTTAGAAGACAAAGTTACAAAATAGCCTCTTAGTTGATGTGATCATCAACAGTCTCATTCCAATGCTGGATGTAGACCTTACCTTAAGGAACAAGCCATGTGGCATGCATAATGTAAAACATTTGCCCATGCTCATCTTGTACTTGTAATACTGTTCACTATTACTAGTTGAGTTCAGCATTTAAGTTCACTATGTCTAGGGCTAGGGTTTGTTGAAATTATAGTTCAGGTAAAAATTGGCATGTTTTTCTCCTACGCTATCCTAAACTATTAATATAATTTTAAATAATAACTGTTGTTATTCAGGTTCTATACCAACCACACAAATTAGAAAAATGGGGAGATGTAGTAATTAAAACGGTAAGTTTTCAAAAATTTTATGCAAGTTTTTGTTATTTAATGTTATGTTATAATTTATGGTCGATATTCAGAGACAATCTCGTGCTTAAACTTATACTCCACAATAGCAAAATTGGATTCTAGACAATGTTGTGCTATAAAAATTTTGACATGATAGAGTTGTAACTTAAATTTGAGACTGTCTCTGACAATTTATTTTAAAACATTTTTACTGAATTCATTAATTTTCAATCAATGCATGCAATTCTATCAAAAGTCACCGCTGAACATAGGCCTCTTCCATACTTTTCCTTTTTATATTTCCTATAGTTGCTACGCTACAGGTGATTCTGCTACTCCGGTTTTTATTAATTTTGAGTTGTTATCAGATTGCCCATCTCCTGTTTCATTTCTGTCTGTCGCTTCTTACAACACCGATGGGACGATATGGGGTAGTAGATGGTCATAAAAAACCACTAAAGGGTATTTTTACATAACTCATTATTAACACACTTTTATTAGCTTCGCGTGTATCGATCTATCTATTTATATATGTAATGAAATTTTTTAATGTGCAACTTGTAGACGGCCAATTAATTTAAAAAGCATGACAATATAATATTTTAATAACTTTATCCTAGTGTCCTGATCGGGATCACCATGATAAAATAAAATAATTATCTGGATCATCACAGCTCATTATCAATGCATGTGGTTTAAGATTTTTGAAACTTACATTATATAAAAAAAAATAGTAAAAGTAATAGCAGACTTCGAAAAATAAATATTTTTGTTTAATTAATCTACACATTTTTCTATAGTACATTGAGGCCATTTTTTGCCATTACGGTCGGTTAAAGTTGGGTTATGTAATTATTTTGAATTCAAAGTTTGGCACAAATTTAACATTTTATTTGAATCTGAGGCAATTAAGTTTTAACCTTTAACTGTAATTTACAGAAAGGTTATTAATCATGGTTAAATCACAGAAAAATAATTGAAGAAAAGTTAATATTTGTAGTCACAGGACTTGAAAGATTATCATAGGATGTCAGAGATGGATGATATCACAGGGTCTCAGAGTTTCTCTACATTGAAGACTTTTTAACGAGGATATCCACAGTAGAATAGAGTTTACCTGGTAGAGCTATGCTGCAACTATGATACTGGTATAGTTGTAGCACGAATGGGTCGCCTCGACGGGGGAAGGACCACGCTCTCACAGAATACCAGCGTAAAATAGCAGCTTAACGCTGCTGTGTTTCGTATGGTGAGTGTAGAGAACTAGAGACCCTTTTACTGGAAAAGAGGCATTCCATCTTAGCCCTTGCGGGTGCCAACGCATCTGTATTTGGATTCGTAATCTAGGATAGATGTAGATGTCTATGGTCCACAGCAACCACTTGCCATCAGGTGGACTGTGTGCTCGTTTTTCACCCTTATCCGATAAAAAAAAAGGAACCAGAATTTAGAAAAAAAAAACTACAAACAACAAACTTTATATTGGTACATGCTGTGCTATCCTGTACAGTTTACCATTTGCTTAGTATTATTACAGATGTATTTGATTAATTCTAGTGTCCTCACTGTTGGTCAACCAAATAAAATAAATAAACATGCATTATTGGAAGGGGGTGAAAACTAAAAACGAAATTTTAATAGCCTATTATAATAATATACATAAATCGAAACACAGCCCTACTACTACTACAGCCCATTATAAGTACACTGCTGTACAAAGGTCACACCTGCATCCATTGGCTGCCTATGTATGTCATCAGCTCATCATTTCATCTATCATTGCCAGTTCGCGGCTGCCATTCGAGAATCTTTCTTCCCCATCTGATGGCGGTTCTTCTAGCTATATGGCCAAATAATTGCCACCTCAGATTACTGATATGCTAGGCTATGTCTATTACTTTTGTTCTTTTCTCTCGTTACGGACCTTACCCTGAAAATTCTTAGCATACCACTCTCTATTGCATACTGAGTGACTTTGTGTCTCCTAATACATATACAAGATAATTATGAGTGTAGGTATAATAAACTTATTTTGTGTATTATTGGTAAAATATTGAACATCTTGTACTCAATCTTATAATTACTGTAAGAGTACTAACTTGTACTTGATTCTTGATTCTTTGATACTTTGATTCTCTTCTAAGACAACATTAATATGACTTAAGTTATATATAGGTATATTAACTATTAACTAAATATTATTATTTTATACTACTTACATTTTACTTGGATTTAAATGTATCATTATTTATTGTAGCTAAAAGGATGGAGTTGCATATTTTCCTTATTACTAATTAAGTTAATTTAATTATTACAGGTTAACGCAGTGACAAATATAAGCCTATATACATCACCATTTATTGGCATGTATATTTATAAAAAAGGACTTTATACATTAGAGAAAACACAAAGCATGGTACCACTTTTTGCTGGTGTTGGCTGGTTTATAGCTCTCTCATTTGTTGTAAGAGCTTTGGGCAGGGTATCGAATCCGAAATATGTTGAATTTTTGAAGGATCTGACTAATACAAGCATTGACCAGAAAACTTATTTGCAATCCATAAGAAAATATGATTTTGAGTTTAATAAATGGCCAGTCTCTTACTCTATGCCTCCCAAAACAAGGTGAATTTCATACAATAAAATTACAATTTATCTTTTAGTTCATATTTGAAAAGGTATTACTGTGTACATTTTTTTTATCTAGCTCCAAGTGGCTGCAGACTAATCCATTTGATCAGTGCGCAAATAATGACTTACCTACATATCAGAGGGTTGCTATTCAAGTATTGGCATATGTTGCTGTCCATACATTTGGACTCAGACTTATTTATCCAGGAACTCTCAGTCTCATTCAAACTTCCTTATGTAAGTAGTGTTTTAATAATATATTTTTTACTGTACAAAGTTACAAACTTATCAATTTGGCTATATTTTAAATATGGTGCTGTTCCAGGGACTATACTCATAATAGGTAGAGCTCAACTGGTCGAAAACTATAATGGGATACGTGCGAAATTGCAAAGTGCCGATGGCAATGCTATAGACACAATGTTTGTCGATAACAGGTCATTGTCAGACAAAGGAAAAATTTTAGTGATATGCTGCGAAGGAAATTCAGGATTTTATGAAATAGGTATTATGCCTACTCCAATAAGAGCTGGTTATTCTGCATTGGGCTGGAACCATCCTGGATTTGCTGGGAGTACTGTAAGTGTCTTAAGTCGATAGAAATATTTCGTTTTAATGGCCTGTTTTGGCTTATTTAGCTTAATTTACTGAAAAGACCTAGAAGCCGAGAGTCCGCCTGATGGTAAGTGGATGCTATGGTATTCAGTTACTATCAGTAATACCAACATCTATCCTCGATTAAGAATTGCAGATACATTGCCGCCCCTGAGAATTAAGATGGAATGTCTTGTTACCAATATTATGCTGCTATTTATGCAAGTATACTGTCATTGTGTATTTAGTGTGAGGCAAGATTTGTACTCCTAAATTTTTACATAAATACAAATGTTTATTTCCAGGGTACCCCCTTCCCTTCTCAAGAACATTCAGCAATTGATGTTGTAATGCAGTATGCGATTAATGAGCTTGGCTTTGAAGTTAAAGATATAGTATTGTTTGGATGGAGCATTGGAGGGTATACAGCAACTTGGGCTGCAGTAAATTATCCGGAAGTGATGGCCTTGGTATTTATAACTTATGTTTTTGTATTTATGATTGTGTGCAGATGACGGTCGATTCGCGGCGTACTTTTTCTATGTAGAAAGAGAAATTATGTTCTTTTAAAATCGTATAAGTTTTTAAACAAACCTTATGTTATTTTGCTGGCGCGGCAATCTTTTGATAGAAAACGTATACAAGTTTACCGTAAATCTAATTTTGCACTTTCAATTCACCTATTATCACTGTCAATACTCAACTCCAATCTGAATATAATCATGCAATAAACGTTCTTTTTGTTTAATTCCGTTCAAAAACCAATTTATAACGTTTGTCTTTTTAAGTTACTTATAAGACAATATCTGTAGTGTAATAGTTTCCTTGAACACCATATAACAGTTGCATAACTTGTGCCAATTTTTTACTTATAAGAACTGTATAAGAGCTTATACAGATATTATAGAACGAGAAAATACCTCCTCTAGTATAAAAAGGAACTTCAATACAGTTCGTATACATCTTGCATGCTGCTTGTAGTGAAACTCATTATACATCTAAGTATATAACTAGACTTCTTACGATCGCCTTATGCATTGAGTCCGTTACCGTCCGTCAGCCACGTATTATCTCACGCTTTTGGTTGACAACAAGTGGTAAAATTAAAAATTTTGTACACTGACTTCAATATAAATAAAATGAGAACATCTTCAATGTAGTCGAAGTCAATTAAATACACATCATTAAGGATAACTCAAAAACTACTGGTCATATCTTATTAAATTTATATAGGACCACATGAGAAACACCAGCTTTCAAATAAAAAGAATTATCAAAATCGGTTCACCTAGAAAAAAGTTCTGATGCAACACACGTAAAAAATACAGACGAATTGGAAATACAGAACCTCCTGTTTTTTTGAAGTCGGTTGAAAAGTTACTGACGACTCGTCCGTCGTCCAGGGTGTAAATCCTAAAGTTACAGGATTGTGATAGCCCTAGAGCAGCAAATTCTATATTATAACTTGCAATTTTAAAAGCTATTTGGCCAACTGCAAAACTGCATGTCTGAGGAGTTAGAGATATCGAAAGTCTTGGAGATTTCGCACTCTCTTAGAAGTGTAAGGATGCCTATAGGAGCCACGCTGCAGCTATATTATGATTACAGCTTGAATGGGTCGACTCGAAAACAGTACAGTGTGGACTCCACACTCGTACAATATCTACCAGCGTAAAAGAGCAACTTAATGCTGCTGTGTTTCGTGAGTGGAGCGAACAGAATGTTCGAGAAGAGTTGCTGTTCCCCGCGATTTCACCCGCGAGTGATAATTTATTACGATTATATTTCATGAGTTTTAATTTTTTTCGCGTGGAACCCTTATTATTTTTCTAAAATAAAAGTAATCTACGTTACTCCTTATAACATCAGCTAATCTACCAGTGAAAGTCCCGTCAAAATCGGTCCAGCCATTTTGAATATTAGCCAGAACGAACAGACAGAGACAAAAATTTTAAAAATTGTGTTTTTGTTATAACTACCCTATATACTTTTAGTTTATATGCATTTAGGAAAAGCTTTTATTTTGACATTACAAACAGACACTTCAATTTTACTTATTTGTATAGATTATATGAACATTTTGTAAAAATGGGCATTACAACAGACGGGACAAGATAATATAATTTTTATGTTATTTTTTAACTATTGTAAGCTAAAGATTGATTACCATCTCATCTGATGGTAAGTGGTGATGTAGCCGAAGATGACAAAGCGCAATAACTTACATGAACAAAAGCCAGATTAATCCCACATTGTAAATAACTTGAAAAGTAGCTGTTTTTGGGCTAATGGCTCAAAGATGTTTATTCATTGTTTTTGTTTTAATAAAACAGGTACTAGATGCCACATTTGATGATCTCCTGCCAATAGCTCAGAACCAAATGCCACAATCTTGGTCGCGGCTGGTCAAAGAAGTAGTACGTTCCTATGCTGATTTAAACATAGCACAGATGATAAGAAAGTACTCTGGGCCCGTACATCTAATAAGACGGACTAAAGACGAAGTTATATGTCTAAGGTACACGAAAAATATTACTAATTTATGCTAATTTTTATTATATTGTCAGGTAGATAAATAAAAAAAAACCTTAACAATTGACTTCTGTCTCAAAGATATGCCTCATATGGCCACCAATGAAGTATCATGTTTCAACACTCTGTGGTTGCATATACTTGTTTTAAGGTTTTAATGCTCCAAGAAAGTCTTATGTTACTTTGTTATAATTTTAGTATATTACAGTTTATTGAACATTGTAGCAATTAACTTGAAATAAATATTAGAGATATCTGCACAGAGGAACTCATGTCTTATCAGAAATTGGGCAGTTTTATATTTAATACCGTATTTGCTACGACCTGGTACAATCATTTGAATGTGTACGTTTGCTATTTTAGTGTTTTAGTTTACTATGTCGCTTATGTTGTGATTGCCTAGGAAATACTGTTTTCATCGTTATAAATGTCTGGTCATTAAAATCAAGAAATCGTAATCAGCACTAAACTAAAACCTAGAAGCTGTTGTTGCCATTGGTTTAAAAATAAACAAATTATGGTCTGCGTATCGGCAGTGACTACCTGTATATTACATTTACCTTTACCTTACGTTACCCTAACCTGTTTTACAAAATAACATGATATAATGATCAATTGGTACCGAAAATATTTCCATATTTTTCATATTTTTTTTTATTCAAATCACCATTGCGCACGATTATTTAAACCAAACAGTCTATTAGAAATTGGAAATAAGGATTGTATGCATTCCCCTCTACTGCTTGTCGAAGCATTAAAATTCTATAAAATTCCATCACTAAAGCCTGCCGACGCTATCTACCAGAGATACCAACTGCGAGGGGCGTTCAATGTATTCTCGGTATGGGTATGTCAGAAAAAAGATAAAATTATAATTTTTATTTATTTTTCAATATAATCTCACATGATATCAATTTCTGGGGGCACGGCAGTGCCCCCGCCAAGTCGAGCACAAAAGCGGCACGGCCGTACCATCCTTTTCTCGAAGCAGTTCAGTCCATTTTCGACCCCCTATAACTTCGTTGACGATAAAAGTAGAAGCCTGAATTTTCAGTAACCAAACATGCATTGTGTAAACACGGTATATTTCAAATTTCATTAAATTTGACTGGTTCAATGAATTTTTTAAATTTAAAATTTAATTTTTTTTTTAATTAAAAAGTTAAATCGCATGAGAACCCAATGTTTCTCTCAAGTAATACATATTATATTAAATTAGATTGTTTAGTGTGATTGCCAAGTCAATTTATTTATTTAAAACATAAAACATTTTTGATATTGATATGGTCACTATAATATTTTGTTACGTTAGCTAATTACGTAATAATTTAAGACAGAAGGACCCTTAAGTAGGGACTGAATAAATTAACCGACTTGGTATTACATGGATCTCACAACTTTTTACGGTTTTTTTTTACAAGTTATGTTTTTGATGGCATATTAACTTGTTCGTAAAAAAGCATTTCTATTGTCTTGAAATAATATTTTTGTCTTGGCCTGAAAAGTGCTCATTTACAGCGGACTTGAGCTCATTATCGTCAGAAAATCGCTTTCACCGAAGGTCTTTTTTTAAGTTTGGGAATAAAAAGTAGTCACTAGGGACTAGATCTGGGCTGTATGGTGGGTGGTTAATTTCCTCAACTCCGCAGTCTCGTACAGCAGCCTTGGACAGCCGCACGGTGTAAACCGGTGTGTTGTCATGAAGAAGCAGCACTCTCTTAGTCAGCTTTCCTCTTCTCTTTTTTATTGCTCCTCTCAAACGGCGTAAAGTGGCTGAACCAAGCAGCACACAAGCTTTATTAATATCAATATACCAGCCCATATAGAACTTAGAGTTCTTTTAAAAGTGTATAAGAGTGCTGAAAAAGGGGTTGTATCCTTACGAGTGGTTTATGAGCTATTATACAGCTGAAGCTGTATAAAGTTTGTATTATGGGATGTAGGTAAGCTTAGGGTTCTTAATCAGAATATAAAGACTAGTATACAACTTTAAGTATTTTGTTACACTTCAATCTGATTTTATCATTAAAGTTGTATAGAAGCTGTTTATTTGCGTGCTGTCCCTTGCTTATTACTCTTAATTTGAAACCTATACAGCCGACATTTAGTTACCGTATTCAGTATTTTGTCCTTATATTATTTTGTATTATTTTGTTATTTTGCTGGTGCGGCAATTTTTCAATAATAAACATATACAAGTTTAGCGTAAATCTAATTATGCACGTTCCATTCACCAATAATTATCATCGTCAAAACTCAACCCTAATCCGAATATAATATTAATATGTTAAATATATGTTAAGACATTAAATGTCACCATTATTCAATAAACGTTATTTTAGTTCTATATTCATTTGTAATCCCGTACAAAAACCATTGTAGAACGTTTCTCTTTAAAAGTTACTTATAAGATAATATCTGTAGTGTGATAGTTTTCCTGTGTAAGCGTTTATACAGCTTTATACTGTACTAGAATAAAAACAAACTTCAATACAGCTTGTATAGAGCCTGCATGCTGCTTGGGGAGTATTTGTCTGCGTTGATGGTTTCACCTTTTTGAACTTTGAACTTCATGCCATTGCATAGACTCCTGTTTACTCTCAGAGTCATGGTGGTGAACCAACATTTCATCTTCTGTAACTATCCTATCGTGTTCGGTCGTCACCACACATCTCTAAAAACTCCCTACAACAGTCAACCCGCGCCTGCTTTTAAAGCGCAGTGAGCATTCGCGGCGCCCATCTTGCACCGACTTTTGTGAGGTTGAGGTAGTCACGCAATATGGTGTGTATAACATCTTAATTCTTACTCTTGCATCTTCTAATACAAAGTTTTTGAACAATTTTCATATTCTCTTCTGTCGCACCTGTGATTGGCCAACCCGGGCGGGGGTCATCTTCGATGCTTCCCTGCCTCCTTTTAATTATATAATAATTTACTTGACCACTTCTGTACTGTTGACATTGAAGGAGCAGAGTCTTGATAAATGGCCACCATTTCTTCATGCATGTTTTTTTTAAAGATTTTCCTTGTTTAGTGAGGACTTCCGCACGGTGTGTCATTTTATTCAACATTCAGTCAGTCATTCTCGTTGTCTATGACTGAAGGATACATAAGAAGTAATGAAGTTATCAATACTAAATTTTATATTTATATCCTCAGATAGTGTTTAGTTAGTGTTAGTGATAATTTTATTTAATTACCCACATCATTAACAAAATACCCTAATACGAGAATACATTGAAAGCCCCTCAAGTCCTAATATACTTAGAAACCTTCCTAATAAAAATAGAAACATTTTGTGCGATATAAATGATAATAAATACTATTACGTGCGTGGTGAGAATAAAGTCCGACTAGGATGAGAAACGAATGTAGTCTTCCACACACAGCAAGAGCATAATTAGGTAATCAAAAAAAAATCAGTTATAGAGCTTTTCCATCAAGAAATTCTCAGTAGCTGCCCGGCTGCAGGAAGTTGGCGGTGCCTCACCCCCGTGCCTCGGAAAACACGTAAAGCCGTTCGTGTCGGTTTACCGTCCCATCGGACTATGAGAGTGAGACAATAGGGAGTGCACCTGTGCTCGCGCATACACTTGGGCACTATAATACAGTGCTACTCCGATTTCTAGTCTCCGTTGAGGCTGGCCGCCGTGACCGAAATTCGGTCTGGAAAACATATTATTACCTATTGAACTCTGAACCCTTTTACCTGTTTCTGCCGTCAAATAGCAGTGTGTACTGCTTTGTTCCGGTCTGAAAGGTATAGAAATCCAATATAATTACAGGATGTGGAAGTATTCCATATTAGTCCTCAGATGTGAAAACGCATCTGTAACCTATATTTAAGGTTAGTTGCAAGTGTGCACGGGCTGTAGTTGCCAATTACCTTAAGGCAGGCTGTAATTTTACAAAAAAAAAACAGCGTGAGTGTCGCGGAACACTCGGTAGGAACGAAGTTCCTTTCGGAGTATATTGTTATTGATAAACGTATTATATTATTGACTAGCAAATACAAATATATGAATTATGTACTAGCGTCTATTAAAATGAAGCGTCATATAAAATAAAATAATAATATTTCTATCATGGCGAGATAAGAAAAAGAGTGAGGAGATGGATATTATTCCATCTCGCTTCCTTATAGCCGCCAAGGCCGTCTACACTACATCAGAAGGGGTCATAATGGAAAGATCTTAAACTTTTTCTCGCTTAGCCCCCATACGCCAAATCCATACAGTGCGATAAAAACTTCGTTTCAAAAATTAAATTACCATTGGTTTGTACCAATAGCTCTGTCCTGGGAAGAGCCAGCAAGAAACCCAATTAAACTTTCTTATCACTTTCGCTGTCCAGTGCACCACACATAGGTCATTGCTATTGTTTTACTATTGTGTCTGAAAACCGGATAGTGAAAGTGTTAAAACAGTTTGCAATTATGTATCATGTTGTGCAATAAATTACATAAATCATTTTAGAACCAAGTTGTCAATATAATATTTCACAATGTTATAATAATCCTTTTATTATACCTGTTGATGACACAAACTTTGTGTATGAAATTTTAAGTCTTAAATAAATGCGTTATTTCGTTGCAGACAAGGCCTGGTGAATACAAACCGTGGTAACAGTCTTTTAATAAAGTTCATAGAAGCTAGATATCCAGATGTCACAAGTGAAGAGTTGGCTATATTGGAGAAGTATGTCTGTCTCCTAAGTACCCAACGAGCTGCTTTAGAGCGTGGTCAAATTGGAGATAGTGACCGTAAAATATTGAGATTGGTAAGTTAAAAGAATTGATGAAGTTTTATGAGTTCAACTGCTGCTGGAACCACTGCAGCATGGCTTTGTCTAGGTCTTCAAATTTTGGCTTTTGTATCTTACAAGAGCTACCTTCCTCTTCGCCCTGCAGGACCTTTCCCTTACACTTCCAAATGATTGATACAGTGGATGGTCACTTCTCTACACCGTTTTCTATTGCATGAATCAAAGAACTTTTTGGTCTAGAGACAAAAACTTTATTATGCAGCTAGTCATTTACCAAATGGATTTCAGGTTCACACTAATTGATATGGTCAACGATAATGTCATTGGAGACTAATATATATCGTTATATATAATTGTTATGAACGCGCTACCGAGGCGCTTATTGAATTATTGCGTATGACAACCGAAACCAAAAACCAGTAACGGAACTCCCGTCTGTTTGTCCTCCATTAGTTCTAGTTTATTGCTAACGTAAATTAAGAGTTGTACACCATTGTAGGCAATAACCATATTAAACAAATGAAGTGCATATGTGTTCGTTAAGTCCTGAAACTTTCTATAACATCTGAGAGTCTCGACTCCATTAGTGTTAACATCTTGCTTAACGGCTAACTATAGTAACAGTTGTTTTGCGTCTAAGCAACGTTTTGGTAATCGCTAAAAATCAAACGAGAATACCAAAATATGACCTCATTAAAAATTACCATGTTTTTGAATTTCAGAAAAGTTAGCGTTTATTCATATTATTATAATAATTCTCTTATTAGAAGAGCGTGTAACAAATTAATGTACTTTAAGTATTGAAATTGATTACCATTAAATATCTTTTTTTCTTTTTCTCTCTTTGAGTTTATTGAATTTTCTAAATTTATTCTTATATTACTACTTGACTCCTTTTGTTATATGAAGAAGATTCTTCTCTGACACATTTAAGTCTACTACTGGACGTAGCAAAGGCATTTCAATGACTTGGACTACGTGGTAGAGCCATGCTGCAGCTATATTAATAGTATAGTTGTAGCACGAATGGGTCGGCTCGACCGTGAAGGACCACGCTCTCACAGAATACCGGCGTGAAGAGAAGAGTATATAGAGGGTGTAGAGAACCGGATACCCATTTTACTGGAAAAGAGGCAATCCATCTTAGTCCTCACAGCTGCGTTGTCAGCTACACTTTGATTCGCAAACGATGTAGATGTCTATGGGCCGTAGCAACCACTTATCATCAGGTGGACTGTGCTCGTTCGTCACCCTTGTTGTATAAAAAAAGTGTGTGTACTTATGTACGCACGTAAGAAGTTATACTTCTTTGGCGTAACAAAACAAAAATAACTAAAACCCGTTTTATAGATTCAAATATATTTGAATAACCGCCTTGAATATAGTTATCAGTTCTCACGAAAACTTGACAATTGACAGATAATAACCGTAGACATAGAATCCAATAGGCAGCGTGGTATGCTTTGTTTCATTCACAAAACAAAGGACGCATATATCATATTAGCCCTTGTAAGAAAGAGATATAGCTACTATATTGTTGTCCTTATTCCCGTACGACCTAACAAGCTATTTGGCATTAAATTTACTGGCAGACACTGCAACTGTCACGAAGTGCTTCAATGTTTATTATTTTGTTTAAAAAATTATTTGCAAATAAATTTCAATAATTGTACGTTTTATGCACGTTGATTTTTTACCATATCATGGTGTCGTGCAGTGTTATGTTCTGTAAAAGCCGCAGTGAACGAAAAATTGAAGGCATTACATTTCACGCGTAAGTAAACTTATTTCATGAATATGTATTTAATTAACTTTTTGAATCACGATTTACATGAAAGTATTAATTAAAGCGATGTTCACGGTAAGTTTTTTCTATAAATTATAATAATAACTAGCGTTGTTATAACCTCAGACCTATGTTGCCAGCTAAAGTTTATAATTACCCGAGACCTCATCGCTTACAATTATGGCGGGAGTATCTGTAATATATAATGTATTATAATGTAATGTATTATACTACATATCTACCATTGTGTTAATATACCTGTGCTTATTATGTCATTTAAATTTATTCATCTAAATATTTTCTTTATTTGGCAGTTTCCCAATTGATTCGGAAGTAAAATGAAATTGAGTTATAGCAACTGGTAAGAAGTATTGAGAACCTACTAAATATTCTCGACTTTGCTCCAGGCACTTTGAAAGGAATTTATTAGTCCGAAAAAGAACAAGAACTGAATTGTTTCGTAATGCTGTCCCAACACTTGATACAATAAAGGTTTGTATGCTTAAATACGGTCGTATTTTAAATTTTCTAAATGTTTTGTATGTAGTAGATGAGCTTGCTTTAGACCAGAATTTAACCCGTCCGCTGTTCCGTACATTACATATAGGTCATTGGTATTGTCTTACTATTGTGTCTGAAAATCGGACAATGAGTGTGTTAACTAGTGTGTAAGTTATAATATGATGGATTATGATAGGATAAAAGGGAATTTAAAAGACACTTTCTTCTACACTCTTCTTTTCTTTTACATTGAATCTTTTCTTTTACACTGAATATATAGAATAAAATTAAAAAATTCACATTTTTCCAGGAGGATGTTACAAACATAGAAGGACCTGAACGTGATGAATCATGATTTAGTGATTGAACAACCAAATACGGTGCGTCTTTAATTTTCATTGCATTGCTAACGAAACATTAGTACTAGTGATAAGAATTAACATAAAAGTTATAGTTATCATGTAATGACACACTGTTATATTTTTTTATTGAAATGATTAGCTGACATTACGCACAGCATTATTCCTCGTTGTTCTTGAGAGTCATTGGTTTTTTTCTTTACATTTTGTATTTTACTTGGTATAGGTGACATGTAACATTAGGAATACAATTAAAATCTATTGTTTGCGATCAGTAACGACCGCTAATAGGTTTAATGGATTAAAACATTTTAACTTTCTATTTCAGTCACTAGGTACGCCAAGAAGTCTTACCAAGAGATTGAAACAGCAGATTTTCTGTGAGAGAAGAGTTTGAGAATGGTGCGCGCTCTTCGTCAGAAAACAAGGCGTCTAAAGATAAAAGTGGAAAATCTGGAACAAATTCGTGAAAAGTTTAAGGCCAAAGCTCTTGTAAACGAAGAAGATAGCAATCTACTTAACTCGATCGATTCCAACAATAAAAATGTCCTTATGTTGACAATCACAAAATGCTTCTGATTAAAACTGTCGCTTTAAGATATCTTGAAATAAGAATACACTTAAAAGTGGTAGAGCCACGCGGTAGATTTTGTTGTCGCACGGAACACCTCACAGAATACCAGCGTGAAATAGAGGTTTACCTCTGAATTTCGCTTGGTGAGTGCAGGTGGCCGCAGATCCAATCCACCCCCCCCCCCCTCCCATCAACATGGTGGCGGAATTAAACGAAAGACTACCCCAGGAGAGTACCAGCACCCCTGGAGAATCCCTCGCTGAGCATTCAGGGCCAAGCTACTCCACTCCTGAGCGTGGGTGCTCAGGGTGCCCCGCGTACTCTAGGGGGTGCAAAATTCCGCTCGCTACTAATACTGCTTGGGATAAGCGAAGCAATAAGACCAAGGCGACCCCTATCACGCTATTCGTGAATTTTTGCAACATCAGGGGACTTCATTCCAACCTTAATGCTGTCCATTACCACCTAGAGACGACAAAGCTGGCCTTGCTCTTTTTAACCGAGACTCAGGTGTCCTCTCCAGCTGATACTTCATATCACTCCTACCCGAGGTACAAATTAGAACACTCCTTTGTTCCCCGGGCTGGAGTTTGCGTATACGTCAGAGAGGACATCTGTTTTCGACGCCTCGGCAGTCTTGAAGGTACGGACCTGTCCATCCTATGGCTACGCGTAGACAGCAACGACCATCCCCGAGTCTACGGGTGCCTATATAGGTCCCATAGCGGTAATGCAGAAACAGACCGACTCATCGACAACGTCCAAATGGCTACAGATTCCTTGTTACATCAGATCCCATCCGCAGAGATCGTGATCCTTGGCGATTTTAACGCCCACCACGCCGAATGGCTCGGTTCACGGTTATTTTTGGCTTTTGCTATGGTCTTAAACAGCTGGTTACTCCGCCTACGCGGATTCCTGACGTGGAGGATCATGCACCTTCCCTGTCGGACTTTCTGCTGACCTCTCATCCGAACGGATATCAGGTTGCCGCCGTGTTTGGCACTATAGGTCGGCCGATTGGGATAGGATGCGGTCTTTTTTTGCATCCTACCCTTGGGGGAGGGATTGCTTCTCGGAAGATCCCAACTTTGTTGCTGATTCTGAAAAAAAAATACATCATGAAACCACAAAAATTAGCTAGTCCGTCGAAAAAATTAGGAATATTCATACTAAATGAGTTTTATTTCAAAGACAATAATAATTAAATTGGAATTACCATTATATATGAGTCTAATTATTGTAATTTTCTTAACAAATAAATATGTTTTAATATTTGTTATTAATATTACATATTTGTTTCATTTGCTTTAATTATCCTATCCTAATAACATGTGAATAAAATGGCCTAAAATTACTGACGTACGCTTCACAAACATAATCTCCCTATTTTGTCGGTAACATTGCCAAAATGGCAATACTGTGATGCGTTAATGAAAGGCAGAATAGCGGTTACGTGACCCCGCCGTCTATTGGATTCTCTGTCTACGACAATTACCAACTGAAGTTGTCGCGCGCATCGTAACAACTTCATGGTGTCGTCTTTAGGCTCCTAAAGACGAGATCATCATTCACTCATCATTTTTCTCAAACTAACCAAAAGAAGTATAACTTCAAAAGACTGTATATGAAATGCCTTGGTTAAGGTAGTGCAAGCTAGCATGCATTTCTTGCCTAAACTCACCACACTTGGATGTTGGATTAGTGAGGGAAGAACCGATACTTGTGCACTGGCAGTAATGTTCTTCCTACCAGTTGTTATCAAGGGTCTCACTTATCAGTAGGATTTTATCGGAGAAGAAGTAGCTGTCATGAGAAAAATTTTAGTATAAAAAAAGTTTATAAGCTTCTATCCAAATTTTTATATGTGTCATGTTTTAATCCACAGATCTCAACACACATGCAAGATTTTGTTACAACACATTGCACGCCTCTACCAGAGGACTTCTTTATGAGAATAATGGATAACATTACAGCAAACAAGAAGGAGTAATGAAATATTATTAATTGTAAATGAATTAGTCTTTGTGTCGAAATCTTATGACTGTGTAAGGTGTGGTTAATACAAAACTTTTTCTAATAGATGTTTTCTTGTCTTACGTCGCGATAAATAATAATAATCATTTATTTCAAGCCATCAGATCATAGTTATAGTAGTGCATTTGAAATGAAATACTATAATAATATAAATAGCTTGTGTTCCAAAACAAAAAACTTAAGGGCTTTATGATTCTTCTCTTGTTTTAATGTAATTTCTTCCAATGTTACCATCTCTTGTATTTTTCTGTATACATCTATTACCTTTAAACGAATATATAATATTATATAATCGGAATCAAGGAAACGGCTCCAACATTTTTCATGAAATTTAATATGTTATGTGTCAGGGGGTTTCGGAGGCGATAAATCGATCTAGCTAGGATTCATTTTTAAAATATCTTGTATTATCCGTGTTTTCAATATCATTAGAATACTAAGGTAAATTTCGCCATCATCTACAAGGTTATAATAGTTTATATGCGAAATCGAGCGGTCCCTAAACCAGAAGACCTCGGTGCGAGTCTAGATGTCTCCATTCCGATTATTTTTTCGCTTTTTTTTTTCGAGTTCAATCTTTTGTAAGAAAAACTATTATTGAGAGCCCTTTATCAACGCATTTAATTTGTATCAAAGTATATTTAAAAAAAAACACGAAAAAAATGACTGAGCTATAAAAGAAGAATACGTTAGTAATTACATTATTAAAGAAACCGACATTGTGCAAATATGTCTTGTGCAAATTAGCGATGTTTCGGTACAAAGATAAAAGTCAAATCAATAACTGTACCGATAATCAACTTAAACATAAAGTGAAAAAATATGACTCTTCCTGAGATCTATTGGCGAGGAATAATACAATTATTTTTTTAATTAAAACATAATATCCAAAACTACGATTTCCAAAAAAAAATAATACCGAGCAAAGCTCTGTCATGCAGCTACTAGATTATTATATCTTTATCAGTCGTATCCATGTGAATCTTTGTTATGAAAATCGGAACTTTTTTGTCAACGTCTTTGATATATATATATAGCCCCTATATCTCTCGAAATCCCGGCTTTCCCATGATAACGGTAGTTAAATTTCTCGCGTCTCGATATGGCTTTCCAGCCTTCCTTATCATTCTTGTTCGGTTCAAATTCATCTGCTGTGTTTACTGCACTGTGGCGCTCGACTCTTTCCTCAGTTGTTATTATACAGTTATAGGCGAACTGGCCGACCGACGACGCCGCATGTAGCTGTGGCGTCTCCTCGACTCGCAGCTCCATACCGCTCGACATTGTATTCTCGCATCCATTCTATACCGTCGACCGTTGTCCCGGCCCAGCTGAATTTTGAAAAACCCATTTCTCGGTATTCTTGTATATTGTCACCGGAACTGTTTTTCTGGTTATTATTTACCGGTTCACTTAACGTAGAATCGTTTATATCATAGCCCATTTTAATACAGCTGCCATGCTCTGCGCCTTACATTCACCTTCTGTGGAGACACACGCAGTAATGAATTATTTCTCAACTGTAATAACTCAGATCTGCACTCACTCAGTTGCTCTTTTGTAACATAGCTAGCACTAACTACATCTAGTTCACTTTGCACTTTTAGAAGGTATTTTAGTAATTTTGTGCAATCAAGATGATCGAAAAGAATAGGGGTTATTTCTCCAGCTCGCGAGCCACAAAAATAGGTATAATGTTGGGCTCAGTCGATTTAAAAAGGTTCAGCATATCGACAAGGTCTTTTCGTTCCTCTCCTTTGCTAAATAAAGGTTCGATGCATTTCTATTTATAATGAAGTATAAAAATGTGATTTGATATTATATATTCTCATTGTGTTGTGTATTATGAATATTATGTCCATTTTATCGTGGGCATTACGGTTGCCACAACCAACTTTATCTTTTCACAAATTAGCTGTGCGAAGTTCCCTTGTTTATTTATTCCTGCAATCATTTTCACGATAATAAATTTCATGACATTCAAAACTGTTGTAAATTTTGTTACGTAGAACAAAATGACAGTTGAAAATTATGACACAACAAAAAAGAAATTCATAATTTATGATTATATACACTTCAATTTTATTATGTAGATTTATATATGAAAATAATATAAAATATGTATTGATAAAATCTTTACATTTGTTGTATTTATTGCTTGATTGAATTTCCTTTTGGAAGAGAACTGTTTAAATAAAATGAAATGATAAAATGATAGGAAATATTTTATTGATTTTAAGAAATATTTGTAGAAAATATTTAAATTTATATATAAATTTCAAACACTGAGTTCCATGATTACAATTTTGCACTGATTTATCAACTGTCGATGTATAGATGTATGCAATGAATGTCCATGAGTAGAGTACATGTCTCGGTAATGATACCTATTATGTACCTATGCAAATGAAAATAAATTCAAATTTGAAACGTTTTTGTAATTATTAAAGTGTTTCCTTATAACTTGGTGGTGTATAGAGTACTATATTACTTATGACTTTATTTTTATGAAAAGCATCATTATTACATCACACATCAGCATCACAAGATCACTAGTCTCTAGTTGAACATCAGTCTGCCTTATAGATTGCCATATAGCAAGCATGGTTTAGAACTGAATGTCCAATATGGTTTCAATAGAATAGAATAATTTTTATTCTGTACTAGCGATTCGCCATGACTTTACACGGCCGATTTCTCGTTCTTAACAACAGCGCCACCTATCGGGTCCAATTGTGAAACTCAACCATCCAGGGACTCTCAAGACAAAAAAATTCAACAAAATCGGTCGGGCTAGTGTCGAGTTTTTGCGAGACTAACGCACGGCAACCAATTTTTATGTATGTACATACATAAAAATTGGTTGTAGTGTCGGTGTCAGAATATCCACTACCCTATTCACGGGTAGTGGATATTCTGACACCGACTACCGTGGGTGTAGTAAGAGGCAACAAAGGGAATCAAATCGAGAGATGGACAGCAGTGTTTTCCTAATAACGACTAAAAATAAAAATAAAAACTTCTGTTGCCAATCCGCTTGCCAAATGTGGCGAATAGAATAGAATAATTTTTATTCAATATATGTATTTCTTATTGAAAGTAATTTTTTAATTTTACCACTGGTTCGGAAAAAACCTCTGGGAAGAACCAGCAAGAAATCGCGCGGGACTTTTTTAAGTAAAATTAATTTACAGTATATTATTTTATACACTTTCATAGTATGAAAACATTTAGAAACAGCATGTTAGTGATCACCTCATTCAGTCATGTACTCTTTAGTAGTGTAATAATCCATAATAAATAATTTTGGCTTAATAAAAATTTAAACGTTTTGATAAGGACTGTATATTTTCTAGGACTTTGGTTTAAAAGCGTCTATTACAATATTTACTGAATGTAACATCACCGTTTTTAATAAAACTATTTTTGTTTTTGTGTACATACATTAAATTTTCATAAATATACTGAGAGGCCAAATTTAATATATTTATTTCTAAAAAAATTCTCTAAGAGGTTCCTTCGGACCTAGGTTATAAATTGCTCATATGGCTCTCTTCTGTAAAAGAAAGAGATTTAATGTAGCAAGATTCCATAAGACACAATGCCATGGAAATAATTAAAATAAACTAATCTAGCTGTTTAGCTTTAAGGAGTCTAATATTTTTTACTGTATAATATGCTACAGAAATAAGTTTCGTAGCTGGAGGTAGCCTCGTTAGGCCCATTGTACTATTTATTGTACAAAATAACATATATAGCATTACGGCCCATACTTTAAAAGGCAATCTTCTCTTAAACACCCAGTGTACAATTCGATGTATATTATATTTGTATGCATTCTGCTTTTAATTTTTTGTGCCAACCGTAAACTTCTGTGTGCGAGGATAACTCACTATAAAAAAATAACATGACATTTGGGAGAAGTACATAGACAATCTATCAAATTCGATAATTTTTGCAACCATGCCGCCGATTCAGCATACACGTGAGTATAAACCTTAAATATTTCATACAATCTGACGCTATTTCATTTCTAAAAGCAAATAAAATTAAGAATTTAATAATTATTTTCAAGAAACAATTGTTATTTTGTTTCAAAGAACCCAATTTGTCTTTATTATTATTTTACAACAAATGCTGTTCATTTTGTTGCACATTGGGTTTTTACTGTGTTGTTATGTATTATGGTGGGTTATGGTATTGGTTTTATGTTATTGAAGCAACTTTTTGATTCTAGATCTCGACGATAATGAAATCGAGGAGTTATTGGGAGTCTTCAGAATTTAAAGACTTCATTCCATCTGACGAACATGTAGGTGACCCCGAGTGCTCAATTCACCGCGTCGACGCATCTACACCTTCAACATCAAACTCGGGAGATACTTCCTCCGAATGTGAAAGTTATAAGGAAAACTCACAATATGTAAGGGGAGGTTGAAAAAAGTACCTAAAAGAAGAAGACGTGAAAGAGGGCGTGGAGGGGAACGAGTAAGAGGTTGAGGCAGAGCAAGCCATCAAGCTTCTCAAGGAAGCAATCAGGTTTTAGTTCGGAGTGATGGTAAATTAGCCTTCACGAAATGATACCATAATAAACCGGTTTTGATTTTATCTTCTGTGGAGACAGAGGACGAATTTGATCATTGCCGACGCTGGTGCAATAAAATAAAGTTTACTTGACCATACCGCCACTACGAGTAGTGAGACAGTATATTCAGAAAATGAGAGAAATGGCATTAAGCACGACCGCATTTTAGCGGTGTGTACGTATAGATATAAGTGGACTATACAATTATTGCGATAATAAAGAATTAAGTTTATTCTATAAAGTTTATTTTATTTATAATTTAAGTTCTCATAAACGCCCAATGTGCATTTGAATGAACAACGAGCTGAGAACTCAAAAATAGTTTTATTTATTCCTTTTCACCATACAAAATGCTGGTTAAGGTTTTCGTTAAAAAAATCGTTTTGTTTTCGTGGGCCGCAACGGTATAACAAGATAATGTTCATTATATTGCACATTAGGCGATTAGCTCATCT